ACCGGGCCGGTGCCCGGCGCGAGTGGTGAAACCAGGCAGATAATCTCTCTTCTACGACGATGGCAGAATTCGACCCGACAAGCCACCCGCACCGCAGATGTATATCCTTTTTATTTTTTCTGTTTATTCTGCTAAATCGGACAAATCACAGTCAATCCCCTCACAAACGAGCACATTCTCGTCTCCCCGCAGCGTGCGAAACGGCCTTGGCTCGGTCAGACGGAAACGCTGCAGGCGACGGATCTGCTTGAGTACGATCCTGCTTGCTATCTGTGCCCGGGGAACACACGTTCGGGGGGCCAGAAGAACGACGCGTTTGAAAACACATACACGTTCGAGAACGACTTCGCAGCCGTGTTGCCGCCCCCTGCACCCATCGCACCCATCGCACCGCACCCGTTGTTCGCGACGGAGCCGGTGCACGGTGGGTGCGATGTGCTGATCTTCCATCCGCGGCACGACCTCACCCTCTCGCGGCTCGCCCTGGCCGACATCGAGCGCATCATCGACGAGTGGATCGCGATCTACACCAAGCGTAGTCTGCAGGAGGGAATCAAGTATGTGCAGATCTTCGAGGTAAGGCCAGTGACCCCATGCATGATCGACCTGATTGATTGCCGCAGAACAAGGGCGCGATGATGGGCTGCTCGAATCCCCACCCGCACGGGCAGGTGTGGGCGCTCTCGGGCGTGCCGACGATCCCCGCGGTAGAGCTGGCGTCGCTCGAAAAGTACGCCGCGTCGGCGGTGGCTCTATCCGATGCACCCAAGGGTCCCCAAGGTCGATTGTGTTGCATTCCACTGCCATGTGGTGATTCTTACCTTGTCAGCAGGGCGGCCCTGCATGCTCTGCGAGTACGCACACGTAGAGATCGGTTTCGCTGCTGATCAAGGGCGGGTGGTAGTCAAGAACGAGCATTGGGTGGCGGTTGTGCCGTGGTGGGCGACCTGGCCGTACGAGATTTTGTGTGAGTTGGGCTTTTGCCTTGTGCTCAACCAAGTTGATGCGCCCATAGTGCTCCCGTACAAGCGGCACATATCTGCAATATCTGATCTGCAGGCGGAAGAGAAAAGCGCCTTTGCTGACATCCTGTCACAGATCACCATTCGATACGATAATCTGTTCTCGTGTCTCTTTGCGTACTCGATGGGCATCCATCAGCGCCCGACGTTGTCCGGGGACGACATGGCCCATCTGCACCTCCACTTTACACCACCGTTGCTGAGGAGCGCGAGTGTGCGCAAGTTCTTGGTTGGGTGGGTGTTTTTTTCTTGGTTGGCTTCTACTGACATTTTTTTTTTCAGATTCGAGCTGATGGCAGAAGCACAGAGGGATTTGACCCCAGAACAGGCTGCGGCGAGACTGAGGGAATTAGATAGCAAGCATTTTTTGGCGTAGCGGAGATAGAATGGAAGTACTAGTGTCACACACGTGTGACTCGCTTGTCTTATATCTCGGACCTACCATCCTTTTAACGAACCGTCATGCTCTTTCCCCGTACTGCCGCTTGCCTCGTTCTCTCTGCCCTCGTCTCGTCCGTTTCCTGTGCGTTATCTGGTTGTGTCGCCGAGGCCACTGAGCTGACCCACAGCAGCATATTTTGTCGTCACCGATCCCGCTCTCAATGACCAATGGGCAAACGGCGACACCCGCGCAGTATCCTGGGTCAAGGGTGTCAACGACGGTGTAACCTCGTTTGACCTCGAGATGTCTCAGCTCACCACCGACGGCCTCACCCTCATCGCCAAGAACGGTCAGTATCCGTGCATAACCCGCCGGGGCCCAAGTCCTGACTTGCTTGCGTTCGCCAGTTCCCTCAGGCGACTCGTCGCAGAAATCGATAAATATCCAGCTGCAAGACGTGCCCCCGGGCGACGACTACTTTCTGCTGTTCATAAACTCGACAAACGGCGCAATGTACGCAACGTCCCCGCGCTTCACCGTCCTCGCCTCGGGCGGGACTTCAAACGGGACGACGACGACGAATGCCAAGGCCGCGACCGTCACCGTTAGTGGCGCGCCTAACCCGACAGCCCCATGGGCAACCACGTTCGCCATTGCGACCAGCGCCGCTTCACGGCCAACATTCGCCGGCCTCAGCACTCTACTACTCGCTGCGGTGTGGACGCTTCTCTGGTAGCGGGGCAGATGCGGTGTGGACACTAGACTTTCTATACTACTTTATATTTCCCGGCATTCACATTCGTTTGCGCCGACGCTATGCTTTCATTATTTATGTAGGGGCATGATCTAATTCATTGTACATGTGGGCTTTACAGTGAGATGGTGATAATATGCTACATACACGCTCAGACTTCTATGCGTACTGCAAAAACCATTAGCAGGGAGGAGCGCAAAAGGGAGTTGACATACCCGCGTAAAAGTCCCCATCGTCATAAAGGTCTCCTTTCGGCCCGAGTCCTTGGCAGAGTACAGCGCGCGCACAGCGTCGGTCATGCCCGCCTTGCGTTTCGCCTCCTCCATTGCCAGTGTGCTCCGCAGCGAGTTGCTCGCCGTCGCGATGCTCGGGGCCGCGGCAGCCACCTTTTTCGCGGGGGGCTGCTCCACGGCGCCGTCCGCCGCGGCCTTGCGCTTCTTCGACTTTTTCACGGGCTCGAGCAGGCGCTGCGCCGCGAGCAGGTCGCGCAGGCGCTCTTCTTCCTCAGGGCCGGGGTTGAGCGGGACGCAGTCAGTGGCGTGCGTGTACTTGGTCGCACACTGCGGGCAGGTGTCTTTTTCGTCACGGTCGGCGGCTTGGGGCGAGGAGCGGACAGCGGCGAGGCCGGCGACGGCGAAGACGCAGCCACACGGGCGGAGGTAGACAAAGGGTTGCGCGCCGTTCATCTCCTTGAGCGTGAGCGGACATACGAACTGGGTCCGCTCCGAAGGCTCTGTGCCGGCCTGCACGGGCGCGGGGTTCGGCGTCAGTGTTAATGTTTTCACATCCTGAAACGATTTTAATCGTTGAAACAAACGGCGTCGGGCAATACACACCTTGAGCGAACGAATGTGGCCGCAGATATTCTCGCCATCGCCGTACGTCTCTCGGTCGAGTAGAAACTCGATAATAGCATCCTTGTTGTATAGTTTCCCTAGAGCGCAAGAGACGACCGGTTCCTGGAGGCGCCGTTTGGAAAGGGCGCAGAAAGCCCAGCGAGCACGAGTCTGGTTGGCCTTGTCGAGCGCTTCTGCCTTGGGCTTGCTGCGGACGAGGTCTCTGCGATCAGGAATACTGCCACCGTCGTTCCCCATGTTAAGTTTGTTAAAAATTAAAATGGGTTAAGTAAGTCTTAAGCACGTGCAAATAATACCCGGTATTCACATGCCAAATCGACCGGTAAACTTAAAAACAGGCAAACACCGAATATTTCTTTTCATTCTCTTCCACCATGTCTTCCTCCAAGGCCGCCATTCTCGCAAAGCACGACGACGACGTCGTCATTGTCGCTGCAATTCGCTCGGCGCTCACAAAGGTCATTTCGCCAGCTATTTATTAATTTACCCCAGCTTATACATTTATTCTACAGGGCAAAAAGGGCGGTTTCAAGGACACAAATCCGGAAGAGATCCTTTCCCATGTCCTCAGCCACGTCTACAAGTCCGTGAAACTTGACCCCAAGCTCATCGAGGACATTGCCGTCGGAAACGTCCTCCCAGCAGCCGGCGGCGCTTCTGCAGCCCGCATGGCCGCACTCCACGCGGGCATCCCCAATACCGCTTCGATCAACACCGTTAACCGCCAGTGCTCCAGTGGCCTCACCGCCATCAGCCAGATTGCAAACGAGATCAAGACCGGCATGATTGACATTGGTATCGGTGCCGGCGTCGAGAGCATGACCAAGGGATACGGTGCCGCCGCCATGGGCCCCGGCTACTCCGAGGTCGTCCTCTCCAATCAGGAGGCCGCCGACTGCCTCATCCCCATGGGCATCACCTCCGAGAACGTCGCCGCCGACTACAGCATCTCCCGCGATGTCCAGGACGCGTTCGCCGCCCACTCGTTCCAGAAGGCCGCCAAGGCCCAGAAGGAGGGCCGCTTCAAGGCCGAAATCCTCCCCATCGAGGTTACGTGGGTCGACCCCAAGACGGAGGAGGAGAAGAAGATTGTTGTCGACTTTGACGACGGTGTCCGGGACGGCGTCACGAAGGAGAGTCTCGCCAAGCTCAAGCCTGCCTTTGCCAAGGACGGCAGCACACACGCCGGGAATGCGTCGCAAGTCAGCGACGGCGCAGCTGCTGTCTTGCTCGCACGGAGGAGCGTCGCGAAGAAGCTCGGCCTTCCTATCATCGGCAAGTACGTCGCCGCCGCCACCATCGGTGTCCCCCCCAGAATCATGGGTGTCGGCCCCGCATATGCCATCCCCCGCGTACGTTCCTTCCCTTCTACTCTCTGCTTCGAACCTAATTTCTTGTCCTGCAGGTCCTCGAGAAGACGGGTCTCTCGCAAAACGACATTGACTTTTTCGAGATCAACGAAGCCTTTGCGTCGCAGGCCATCTTCTCCGTCGAGCACCTCAAGATCGACCCCGAGAAGGTCAACAAGCACGGCGGCGCCATCGCCCTCGGGCACCCCCTCGGCTGCAGTGGGTCTTTCTCTTTCTCTCTCACCGGCGGTCCCTCATTCCGACCACAGCTGGCGCGCGCCAGGTTGCGACCGGCCTCAACATCGCCAAGCAGTACGGCGAGAAAATATTCGTGACGAGCATGTGCATTGGCAGCGGGATGGGAATGGCCGCCGTGTTTGTGAGCGAGCAGTAGGGTGTCGTGTAACTGTACAAAAAGCACTATTTATTTTGATAGGTACATTTCTCTAATCACATTACTTCAAGTGGAGAGCTGTTTCATGAGTGAGATAGTTTAGTGAGATAATACTTCTTAAAAAACGTCGGATCCATGGCGCCGATGGTATTTGCGGTTCTCAACAACGAGAAGGAGAAAGGTTCAAGACTATCGGGAACCACCCGGTCAGAAGCCAAAAAAAGAGAGAAACCAAAAGATAATGGACATGCTGGGGATTGAACCCAGGACCAGACGCAAACCAAGGAAACTTGCAAAGCGTGCGTGATACCACTACACCACATGCCCCATGAAAGTGAACTCGCTCCTGTTGAAGTAATAAAAGTTATGAAATGCTCCAGACCAGAAGGGCGTCACACGAATGGAACAAACATTCGAGATACTCGTCACCTAGAGCGCGTTGAGGCGTGTCTTGAAAGGGGAGGAAATGCCCAGATGTTGTTCGAACTCTCCGAGGAAAACGCGCCTCGTTGTCAAAATGGAATTGGAGCGCATATTGGCCAACGTCAAGCCAACGTCGTATACTTGGTAGACTGACTGCGCACGGCATCCTCCAATGGAGGTTGAGTAAGGTGTTTAGATATATCTACACGGAAGAATTATAAGGCGGCGTGAACACTGTGACCCCGTCGGGTACTTTGCGCATTAGAAATGCCGTCGCTGTTCGGGGACTGTTCGGGGATAGCACAGCGGATGAACTTGGTTGACTTGTAAGGATCGCAAACTTAGCTCGCAAACTAATAGGAGGAAAGTTCGAACGTTTAGAAGACTGGTTTTCCTTCCCGTGACATCAGTCCTTTGCTTTTTTTTCCTTTTCGTGCACTGAGCGTAAATAATATTCGCCTCTATGAACGACCCTCCACCCTCTTGTCGTGGAATTTGTGCCCATGATCCACCAACCAATCCGGCTCGATTTCGGTGATAATGCGGATTCTGTGGAAGTGTTACATGAGGAGAGTGCACATAATTGATCAGGCTTACTGGGTCTTTTTAGTTTCTTCCATTTCATGAAACACCACCCATCCAGAACGAGGTTTTCGCGTGAAGAGAACCGAAGTCGGGTGGACATGCAATGTCTACGACAGTGTCAGTTCATGAAGCGAGGTTGATGGAGTTGTCGTACCCGGTTCCCTCTCACAGACCGATATGTCCCATCGGCCACCCACCTCGCCCCGTTGCGCCAATAACCGCTCACGAGACATCGGCGTAGCCGCTTAGCATCCCCCTCGCAGCTTTCGATGGGCAAATTGAAACGTTGCATGTATTTCTTCAGCTGCGAGCGAATGGAAACGGCACGCGACATTGCGCGGAATGACAACGCGTGTGATTTGCACCAACCCGAAGAGCGTCCGTATCTTGTGAATCCATTGTAAGCTGGAGGGGTAATCAGAAAGTTGGGATGTAAAATGAGAGAGTATGTACCATTCAACAATGTGAGATGGTCCTGTTTTTGGTCAGATCATGAATAAAAAGAGATAAATCGCAATGACTCCTTCTTCGGCAGTAAATTTTCGCCTCTCGAGTTCGGCAAGAGCACCTGGTGCTCCGTCGGGAATCACAAAGACATCCTGCATATAGATGAGCCGAACATACGGTTTTAAAAAACCGTGCACACACTTGAACAGAGGTCATCGCAGCAATGGTCAAAATCTCCTCTCCGCACTTCAATTCCTTGGAATTAAACAACTAAACCAACCTCAGAAAAACGCCAAGGAGATAACCAAGTACTGACCATCCGTGCAACACCAACTTCAACGGGACATTCTGCAACCTGCTCTCCGATCACAGTCAGACGGCCGTCTTCTCCGATCATCCCGGCAGCCACCAAGCCCTCCAGTGCTCTCAAGACACTTTCAGCCGGTGGGGCCGACACCCATTCGAACTTCATGAGATCGTCTATACCGAGCGACTTGAGCTGCAGGATGGGAGTGGTCATATCCGTCCGAGTAATTTCAGGCGCAGTCGATAGAGGAAGAGCGTCGAAGGCAGATGTTGGGTACAGGCGGTAACAGACGCCAGGAGAAGTACGTCCTGCTCGCCCTGCCCGCTGCGTCGCCGATGCCACGGAGGTCGGGACCGTTGCTAGAGATGCAAGTGCAGTCGTTGGATTATAGACCCGGATCTGAGAAAGATGAAAATGTGACCGTAAAATGGGGAGAAAACACAGACCTTGACGAAACCGCAGTCGACCACAAACTTGATTCCTTCGATAGTCACACTAGCCTAGATGAGGTTCAGAGGTTTTTATGGGCGTAGGACAAATGTTGTTTACTTCGGCAATATTGGTAGATATTATAACCTTGCGGCTGCCACGCTCGGCAGGTTCAAACACGCGCAGCTGCTCTTCCGTCGACAAACCAGCGTGGAGAGCTAATGGTACAAGGCGCGTGGCAGTTCGGGGTAACCTACGGAAAATCAGATAAAGTGGCAGTAAAGGAAAATATCACTGACGTGGGCAGTAAATCCGACAATTCCTCGAGACACCTTTCAATGTCTTCTCGACCAGTCAAAAACACCAATATGTCGCCGGGGCCGGACTACGAGGGATTTAATAGAAATGTAAAAAATAAAATATGTTCCTAACCTGTAAATTGATGTTCCAAGCGACTTCCGCTGCTTTCCTGACGTAGTCGGGCGCGGGCTCTTTTAGATAAGCTACCTCAACGGGATACATTCGACCTTCGAGGCTGACAATGGTGGCCTCCTCTGGCGAGGTGGAGGCAGTAAAATAATCAAGGAAAGAGGTGGCATCTAGGGTGGCCGAAGAGACAATCAGCCGGAGCGACGGTCGTTTCCGACGAATTCTGGGATTGCTGTAAGACTACGTCGGCCAGAGGATGTGGCATGCGCACTTCTTCAATACGCCCAGCAGGAGATCCGTATACACACTACGTTCGTGGGCTTCGTCAATCTTTCTCAAATTAGGGTTTCAGAACTGTCGAACAAATAAATGTTCTCAGCTCACCATAATCACGCTGTACCGGCTTAGCAGAGGATCGACCAGCGTTTCACGGAATAGCATGCCGTCCGTCATGTACAATATTCGTGTTCTTTCCCTGTCACTGACATCTTCAAACCGGATGGTATAGCCGACCTAGGAAACAGCTGTAGTGCGGGGAATTTTTTGTTCAGGGATTGGCACACCTCATCTCCAAGGATAGATCCGACCTCAGAGGCTACTCGACCAGCAACGGAGGTAGCGGCGACGCGGCGAGGCTGAGTGCAAGCAATAACGTTCCCGTTATCTGCCCAGCCAGATTCCATAAGATACTGAGGCAATTCTGAGAGATCGTCAGACCTAGATCGCGAAATGTTCTATGGCGAAGCTTTACGAGTGGTCTTGCCACAGCCGGTTTGGCCCACGACAATGATTACACCATACTTTTCGACGGCGTACAAGAGTTTATCCCCTGTCGATGGAATTCAAGACCAGTTCTCGGGGAATGGTGGAATACGTGCGATGCTTGAAGATCGGAAGGCGCTCGCGCTGGCTTTGAATGGACAGAGAAGATATGGCAGAGGGAACAGCATATTCTTCTCCCTCGGTTTCTCGGTCGAGGCTGCTCCCAGGAGCTGTAGTACCGGGCTTCCAAAACTGCAAGGCCATCGTGGTTGTTTGGTTCAGTCCAAGACTGGATGCGATCAGGCATCGGTGCCGGGGAGTTCGCTACATGTTTCTCGTCACGGTGTGAACGACTGTCTTCATCACATTTCTGGGTCAAGTTGGCTTGCGAAACTAACGCATTTCGGATGTCTCAATGTTACTGGTTGTATACCAGGAAAGTAAGTACGACAACGTGATCGCGTGTTTCGTCTGTCGTCTCAATGACCTTCGTCGACTTTCCCAGTCACTCCAGAAAGTAGCATGAAAGAAGTGGATTGCACGGCTATGACCCTCGATATCCTCCACGAGTACCGCCCCGGGCAACATAGCCGCCCGCCCCGCCGCCCCGACCATAACTGCTTCCACCTCGAGGGGCAAATCCTCCACCTCTTGAACCCCGTCCACGGTCGCCGAATCCGCCTCTCGAACCGCCACGTTGAAAACCACCTCTCGACTGAAAGCCTCCCCGCCCTCCACGGGGTGCTCCGCGGCTACCGGGTGCTCCTCTGCCGCGCCCTCGTTCTGGAAATAAATAAACAAGAAAAAGACATTTGTATGTATCGGTGCATGCTCACTGGTGACGCCTAGTATTATTTCGCAACAATTAGTGGCTGTATATGAACAATATTAGTCGACGCACCTCCGGCCACTTTTGGTTTCGGCAGAAATCTATCTATTGGCAGGAGCTTGTCTCCACCGATGTAGACCTTGTCGCCTTTTTTAAAGCTGCTCGCGACCATGCCGTCTCCCATTTTGATTGAAAAGTAGACCTCGTTGATAGGTCCAAGAATTTCATCAACTTTGCCAATGACAGACTTGTTCTGCAAGTAGATGGGAGCATTGAAGTAGGGAACTTTGTCGGGCATGAGTGATGAGCACAGCATCTCGTCCTCCACGGCATGAACGAAAGTCCCCATCTCTGTGAAGCGTGTAAGACCAATTAAAAAGCAGTATGGATTTTTGCACCTAAAACCGTGTCTGGCGGCCCAAAATCGCGTTGCTGGAAGCCGCCCCGGCCACCCCCGCGACCTAGAGATAGTCAGAGAAAAAAAAAGCAGAGCTCAAAAACGTTAGGATACCTCCGCCGCCTCTGAATCCTCCTCGAGATCCTCCGCGGTTCATGCTGAAAAGTCGTATGTTTGGTCCTATTATAATTCCAGTTTGATGCCCTTACCGCTTAACGGCTGTTTCCGGCCATGAGTTTGCTCGATCCTCGACCTTCGGTAGAGACGGTCTTTAAAATCAAACCTACTCCGGAATATCGTGGCTCGGACGTTGCCTTGCTTGGGACGCGCTTATGGAATTCACTCTCTCCGGAAAATGACTCCGAGCGACTCTATGTTTCCGCAACTTCCAACCGTCATCATGGCCCGGGCCATGACCTTCGGGCCATATCGTTTTGGGCCGTCCCTGACGAACAGGCATGGTTATTCTCTGACTAGCTAGTCCGACACAATACTTAAACGCGCCCCTCAGACCGAGGACTTGGCTGTTCCTTCTACCTGGTTGACGGTTTATCCGCGTGTATTCTCCCGCAATACCCCCGGAATTGCCCTCAAACTGCTGCAGCCTATGCTTCTCACCGAGCTGGTCGTTACAGCGCTCTCACCTGAAGCTTATGAAGTCGGTCCGAGTGCGTTGGATTCTTGGCTTTGCAGCGAACGGCGCGTATTGCGGCAGGGGG